CTCTACCACCATTGGGAAACAGCTATCCCACACATACCTCTCACCAGATCCCACGACATCTCATGGGAGACCCTAGGCCCGATGGCCAAAACTTGGAACCAAATGACTCAAGAACAACTGACTTCTGCAGGAATAAATAAAAAGACAATTAACTACTGCACAACAGGACACTCCAGGTACCACACAGAGGCCTGTGAGGACCCACTCACCATAGACTGCGACCTTATTGATATCCCTCACGACTGCTTTGAACAAATGAAAAATGGAAACTACACACCTACCAACTGTTTATGAAGCTGCATTACTCAACCCGGATCAGACACTATTTGTGGATGGCTCAAGGTTTGCTGACGAACAAGGACAATACCACACTGGATATGCAGTTACCACAGGATGTCAAATATTACAAGCAGCTGCCCTACAACCAACTAAATCTGCCCAAGAGGCCGAGTTAACAGCCTTGACTGTGGCCTGCAAACTGTCCGAAGGCCTACGTGTCAACATTTATACGGACTCAAGATATGCCCTGGGAGTGGCACACGATTTTGGCTTAATCTGGAAGACCAGAGGATTCCTTACAGCTACCGGTACCCCAGTAAAGCATGGGGCAGCCATTGCAGAACTGATGGACGCATTGGAACTCCCAACAGAAGTGGCAGTATTGAAAGTAAAAGCTCATGGAAGATTAGACACAGAAGAAGCACGTGGCAATAACCTGGCTGATCAGGCAGCCAAAGAGGCAGCACGACAAGGATGGGAAGTGGACAGAAGAGTGGCCACAGATGCATTACCAATTTATACTATGCAAACATTGCCTACAGACCTCAGGCTGCTGAAGGAACAGCAAGCTGCTGCCACTCCTCAGGAAAAACAGAGTTGGAAGAACAAAGGAGCAATACTCCGTGATGAAGTTTACACCATTAATCTCAAGTTCTGTCTACCTAGAAGTATGTACCCAGCGGTGGTCCAATGGGCCCATGGGCCAGCCCACCTATCAAAGCTCCTGATAAATTCACTGATTGACAAGTATTTTGAAGCACCAGGCATCACTACCTTAACACAGAATTATTGCAAATCTTGTACCATATGTGCTAAGTGTAACCCTGGAAAGATCATAAAGACTGCACCTAATCATCTAGCCAAGCCACAATACCCCTTTCAGAGGATTCAGATTGACCATATTCAGATGCCAAAGAGCGGACGCCATGAATATGCACTGGTCATAGTGGACATGTTTTCAGGATGGCCAGAGGCCTTCCCAGTGACTAACCTCACCGCGAGGACAACAGCCAAGTACCTCTTGACAGAAATTGTTTGCCGTTACGGGGTTCCAGAAGTAATTGAGAGTGACCAAGGAACCTCCTTCACTGCCTCGCTAACACGGGAAGTCTGGTCAGCACTGGGGGTGACCCTTGCATTTCACACACCATATCACCCACAGAGTAGTGGTAAGGTAGAGCGCATGAACGGCACTCTAAAAGCCAGAATGCTTAAAATGTCACAAGAAACTAACATGCCTTGGCCCGAGAGTCTCCCATTAGCATTGTTTAGTGTGAGGTACACTCCTAGGGGAAAATACAGCCTGTCACCCTATGAAATTTTGTTTGGCACAGCACCTAGGTTAGGTTGTTACTTTCCCCAACAGCTTCAGATCCAGTCAGATGCTATGGTAGATTATGTGACAGCCCTCTCACATGCCTTGACCAAGATACATGCCCAAGTGTTTTCTTCTATTCCAGATCCTGAGTCGAATACAGGTACACACAAGCTGCTTCCAGGTGACTGGGTTATGGTTAAGAAGTTTCTCAGAAAACACACCCTAGAACCGAGATTTGATGGTCCTTACCAAGTGCTCCTGATTACAGCAACGTCGGTTAAATTAGCTGGAAAGAGTTCTTGGATACACGCTTCACATTGCAAAAAAGTGCCTGCTCCAGAAGAGACTGATCCTGTTGAAAAATGAATTTATTATGTGTCTTGTGTTTTCTTATGCTGCTACATTTTGCCTGGGCCCAACAAGTGGCCATAACCAAAGATAACCATGTTTACACTTTTTGGTACAATTCTTCTAATACTGATGTGGCTACATACACCTTTGACTATTGTGACATAGTTACTTGTACATTTCCACAAACACAACATGCAGCTGTATATAAGGACATACCTAACAAAAAGGATCCATACATTTGTGTGACTGGCGGAGGTTGGGGACACCATTGTAGTTCATGGAAAGCTGCCGGGTGGAACACAGGTAGACCATGGGGCTACAGACCTCAAGTTGCATTAGACAAACTTGACAAAGACGGGAAACCCTTGCTCTCTAGAATGACCCTGAGTAAACCCATAGGGTCAACTCCCATTAAACTCACCTTAAATATAGAACACCCTAGTCCAAGGGATGCAGGGGAGTATGTGATGGGAATGTACTGGAAGGGAGGTGGCTCACATAACGCATTAGGGACCTTTTACCTGCAAGATATGCTAAATTCCTCTGACTGGGTGGGAACTACACATATGGTCATTAACCCATTGAAACCACACATCAAAACCCTACATGACATGGTAGCCATAGCTAACCCCACCTTTGAAGATACCATGGCAGTAGAAACAGGGTTTTCAGATACCAATTTATGGCTAGAATGGATGAGGTACAACGCCAACTCACACAATAAGACTAATTGTTATGTATGCGGAGGTGCCAGACCCCATCTGGGTACAGTACCTCTGAGTTTACCTCCTGAAATAGAATTATGTGTACTGAGTTTGTATGCACAATCCACCACTAACTCCTCAACATGTGAATCCTGGAAGAAGATTTACCCAATCACCCATGGACATGTGAAACCACCTGATGGAGTCACCATCTACCCAGGTAATTACACATGCTATTCAATGCCAGAGAACACTGGTTTGTATCTGGGCAAATTCCCATCAGGATACTGCTCAACTTACCATAGTCTACCTGTATCACTGCTAATGAATCACACAAAGACAATCGGTGATATCTATTGGTTATGTGGTGACAAACAATTAAGGCCCCAATTAGCTGGGCAATGGTGGGGGGAGTGTGCCCTAACCAAAGTCATAATGCCTATCCATATCATTCCAGATGGTGACCATAACACGCTAAACCTCACACATATACACTCTAGAACCAAACGAGAGACCCCTATTCGAGGGAGTTTCGACCCCCATGTGTACATTGATGCCATAGGTGTGCCAAGGGGGGTGCCTAACGAATTCAAAGCAAGAGATGAAGTGGCTGCAGGGTTTGAGTCCCTAATCCCAATGATAACTGCTAACAAGAATGTCAATTGGATTAACTATATCTATTATAATCAGCAACGCTTTGTCAACTACACAAGGGATGCCCTACAGGGCCTGGCAGAGCAACTACAAGCCACTACCCAAATGACATTTCAGAACAGAATGGCCCTAGATATGATTCTAGCCGAGAAAGGGGGAGTATGTAAAATCCTCCCTGAGACCATGACATGCTGCACATACATTCCAGACAACACTGGGCCCAATGGTAAGGTGACTATGGCCATAGAAAAGCTAGATAGTCTTGCAGACGAATTAAAGAAGAATTCGGGAGTCACTGACATATGGGACAAATGGTTTGGGTGGATGAATGGCTGGCAAAAGACCCTCTTTCAGGTAGGGACAGCTGTTCTCATGGTGTTCATTATCTTTTTGTTCTTAGCCTGTTGTATACTCCCCTGTATACAGAAATATCTGCAGAAAGCGGTGGATAAGACTGTAGATAATGTGACCCCTACCTTCATACATCAAGATATCACAGACCTTGAAGATGACACCCCACATACACCCCTACAAACACATCAGTTTAAACAGACAACTGCTTTTTTGTAGGGATAGAGTAGGGAAAGCGTCTGTCTTGACAGGTGAGTCTCACGTGTGGAGATGTAGTGGGCTAGCCACTGCGGGATACCCGCGGAGTGAAGCGTTCGATGCTTGTCAAGACAGATAGGTTGCGGGCAACTAGGGACATATTAGGGACAGCAGCAGTTGTTATGGTAAATAGCCATTTTAGGGGGGACTGTTGTGGAAATAAGGTCTATACATATTTCCTAGTTAGAGAAAATGTCTATTTACTCATTCTACAATATATATCACATATAAAGCTGAGCACACATATTTCAATCAAGATGGCTGCTAGAAGCTTCTAACCCCTCCTTCCCCTCCCCCTCCCTTCTTAAACATCGACTAACTACCTCGTGTAACAAGATGGCGCCGGGAAACCGTGGGAGACCCTCATGGTCCCGGTGACATCACCTGCAGTAGGCAGAGCATTAGAGCAACCACTTAACACCTAACCAATTATTGATGTATTATTCCATGTTATCTCTGACAATGCATATGATATAATTTTGCTTTAAAAGGGACTTGCCGTCCCCTCTGAATAAACTTTCCTCAAGTTATTCAACAACCTAGAACCTGTGTCTGGTGTGAATTACTTCAGGGAGCGTGCACGCATTGTTTCATTGATTTGGCCAGGGGCAGATACACAAAGAAATAATCAATACTTTAATTGATTTTTCCACTTCATAGTGTTGTGTATTTCTTACAAACAACTCAACTTTGGTTTAATCTGTCCACAGAATATTTTGCCAGTACTGCTGTGGAACATCCAGGTGCTCTTGTGCAAACTGTAAAGGTGAGTAATGTTTTGTTTGGACAGCAGTGGCTTCCTCTGTGGTATCCTCCCATGAAATCCATTCTTGTTTAGTGTTTTATGTATTGTAGATTCGCTAACAGGGATGTTAGCATTTACCAGTGACTTTTGTAAGTCTTTAGCTGACACTCTAGGATTCTTCTTCACCTCATTGAGCAGTCTGCGCTGTGTTCTTGCAGTCATCTTTACAGGACGGCCACTCCTAGGGAGAGTAGCAGCAGTGCTGAACTTTTTCAATTTCTAGACAATTTGTCTTACCGTGGCCTGATGAACAGCAAGGCTTTTGGAGATACTTTTATAACCCTTTCCAGCTTTATGCAAGTCAACAATTCTTAATCGTAGGTCTTCTGAGAGCTCTTTTGTGCAAGGCATCATTCACATCAGGCAATGCTTCTTGTGAAAAGCAAACCCAGAACTGGTGTGTGTTTTTTTATAGGGCAGGGCAGCTGTAACCAACACCTCCAATCTCATCTCATTGATTGGATTCCAGTTGGCTGACATCTCACTCCAATTAGCTCTTGGAGATGTCATTAGTCTAGGGGTTCACATACTTTTTCCACCTGCACTGTGAATGTTTGCATGGTGTGTTCAATAAAAACATGGCAACATTTCATTCTTTGTGTGTTATTAGTTTAAGCAGACTGTGATTTTTGTGACTTAGATCATTCCAAAGGGTTCACATACTTTTTCTTGCAACTGTATTAACAAGCGAGACACAGAATGGTATAGTCACAATGACTAAACACTTTTTATCCAACACTTTAGACTACAGAGGATGCATGTAGCCTGTTGCCAAAAATTAGTCGAGGTGGGGAGAAGGAAAATACTTCTGGAGATCAGTTTTTAAGGAATTTATAAAGCATGATAGCTTTACTGACTGGCATACTTCCTTGCAGCATTAACCACAGATTCACGTATTTATTGTTGTTGGCACCTACATAACCATAGCATTTTATAATATTAATGTTGGCATATAACAGTAAATGAGAGACAGTCTGTTACAAATAAGTGTTTATTAAAGGCTCTAATAGAATGGTTTACAGTCTAGAAACTTATCAGAAGCAGTCTTAAACTAACAACATGGGAGCAAACAAATCCCATAGATAGGGCATGTGGAGCTACAAAGGGTATGTGGCGTGGAATTACCAAAGGTGCAGTCAGTGCTACCACTCAGGGTCTCATTGGGTGGCCTTCATGCTAAGGGCCATTCGAAGGGCAACTCTGACGAGCAGTCACTCATTATCAGCACACCAAACCAGACCAGTGTGGTTGCACCAATGCGTGGTTGGGCTAAGCCGAAGAAGGTGATCATACTTCACTTCCTCCCGATACACAGAATGCTGCGTAAGAGGACAGGAGGCAGAGAAAGAAGACATCCTGTGCCCACTCACATCTACTCCAGCCTGTTCCAAATGTTGCAGACATCTCTTCGATTTCCAAGTGGATGGCTGCTCACTTCCTTAAACTCAGCCTGTCCAAAACAGAACTTCTGGTATTTCCTCCCTCAAGTGTTACTACTCCCTTGTCTCTCTCCCTCCAAGTCAACGGCGCTACCATCATCTCTACCTCGCAGGCTCGCTGCCTGGGTGTTCTTTTTGACTCCAACCTCTCCTTCACCCTTCATGTCCAATCACTAGTCAAATCCTGTCGCTTCCATCTCAAAAACATAGCACGCATCCGCCCCTATTTAACACCGGATGCGGCTAGGGTGCTGGTTCATGCTCTTGTTCTCTCTCGCCTGGACTACTGCAATACTCTTCTCAGTGGTCTTACGTGTTCCCAGATTGCACCTCTGCAATCTATAATGAATGCGACGGCGAGGCTCATTTTCCTGTCCGCCAGCACCTCTCATGCCTCCGAGCTCTGTCAGTCCCTGCATTGGCTTCCAGTTAGATAAAGGGCTCAATTTAAAATTCTGGTGCTTGCTTAAAAGTCCCTACATAATGCTGTGCCAACCTACCTATCCTCCCTAATACACAAGTATGTCCCCTACACTCTGCCAAAGACCTACGTATATTCTCTGTCCGTACTCCCACCTCTAACGCTCGCCTCCAAGACTTTTCCAGGGCTACAACTCTTCTGTGGAACTCCTTTACCTTCTATGTAAGACTTTCACCCAGTCTCCACTCATTCAAAAAATCATTGAAAACTCACTTCTTCAAGAAAGAATATCAATTAAACTGTTAGCAGGTTTTCATCCCCCACCCTTCATGACTCCTCTCCTGCAACTGTCAAAAATGACCTAAGCCCTCAATTAATGCTTTTCTAACAACCTACTTTGTACACTTACTTTTACCCTTTGTGTCACTATACCCCACTCCCTCTAGAATGTAAGCTCATGGAGCAGGGCCCTCCACCCCATTGTTCCTGTACGTCCAGTTGTCTGGCTACAATTACATGTATGTTAGTCCACCCATTGTACAGCGCTACGGAATTTGATGGCACTATATAAATAATAAAATAATAATAATAATAATCTCCATACAGCCCTAGCCAGCCCCCACCATACTCCAAGGAAAGGGAAGCCTAACGTATGGAGGAAGGAGGATGACTAAGATTTTGTGTCCTATTTATGGTTGTTTATGTGTGTTTTTTAGAGTGTGTATCTGTGTGCACGTCTGTATTAGTGTATATGTATATATGTGTAGGAATATCTGTGTGTCAATGTATGTGTATATGTGAATATACCCCAGCATTCAAACATCAACACTGCATACATATAAACCTCCTTCATTCAAACGCACTTATACACACAAACACATCCCTGCATTCAAACAAAATTCAAACGTCAACACTACACTCAAAGACACCCCTGCATTCAAACACCAACACTACACTCATATACACCCCTGCATTCAAACACCAACACTACACTTAAATACACCCAAACACCAACACTACACCCAAACATACCCCTGCATTCAAACACCAACACTACACTTAAATACACCCATGCATTCAAACGCAAACACTACACCCACATACACAGCTGCATTTATACACCAACACAACACCTAAATATATCCCTGCACTCAAACACCAACAATACACTCATATACACCCCTGCATTCAAACACCAACACTACACCCACATATACTCCTGCATTCAAACACCAACACTACACTCAAATATCCCCTTGCATTCAAACAAAACTCAAACGCCAACACTACACCCACATACACCCCTGCAATTAAACACCAACACAACACCTACATATACCACTGCACTCAAACACCAACACTACACTTATATAAACCCCTGCATTCAAGCACCAACACTACACCCAAATACACCCTTGTATTCAAACGCCGACACTATATCTAAATACACCCTTCCTTTCACACACATACCCCCTACAAACATATGCCTCCATACAAGCATACAGACACTGCTCACAAATACAACCATACAATGATGATCAAATGGTAGTTCCCCAGCTGTCAAAGCATGGAGGGAGTTTTACGACTGTTAACCATCTACCTTTTGGTAACTCTTGCCCTCTAAGGGGCCAAAACAAATTCTAACCAGCCCTCTCGTTGTTATATCGACCACTGATACTTGGTTTGCTGCTTCAAGGCCTTTTCAATGTCACCTAGAACTGCATTCAGAGGATTTATACTGCTGTCTATTTATCCAATCACAGTATATGACATGGTGTTATTTTAAGAAGTTCATATTCACTCCTAACTGGGAGATACTATACTTTGCACATAATTCATAAAACTATTCTGCTTTATGAAAGAAACTATTTTAGGTATTGGTTGTCCATAATTCACTTAAAGATCTAACCCGTGTGGTAATGTATTACATAATATATTGATTTTGATAAGTAATGCATGTTGTAATGCATCTGATCTTATCTTTACATTTTCTTAGTCGAATGGTACACACTGTGCTAGATAGTCAACTTGGAAATATACAGTTAATCACTTAATACAAAATACTTAACTGAGCATCCCCCCAAATACTGCATATATACTATGTATGACTCAATAACAAACAAGCACAAAATTTGGACAGTTCTTACAATCAAACTGTGGCAGCCATCTTGGAGGATGCAGATACAATCTTCTGTATCCCATTTAATCTGTATAAATGCGTTTGGTTTTACCAGTGTGACATATAGGTTAATTAGTATATTTATCTAAATGAGACCTTGGCATGCACATCTTGTATAATACAGAATCCCTTTAAATCAAATTCTGAAACACGTAAAAAAAATTTATCCAACTCCTTCTGTTTGAGTGTGCCATTTTATGTAGTGAGCCATTTACTTTTTGGAGTCATTTTAGTATCTTTGTTTTTCTATGAAATAACCCTATCATCTATTGTAAAGCGCTACGGAATCTGTTGGCGCTATATAAATGGCAATAATAATAATAATAATAATCTAATTTAAAGGACACGGTCCCAAAAGGCAGTGTGCAGAGGCCTGCGAGGATTCCTCTTACAAAAGGAAATCCAGTAAGTGCATGGATGTATAGGGCCCAGTGGACTCAACAGTTAGACAAAGGATATTATAGCATTACTGCTAATCCCAGCAACCAGTTCTGCTCTCCAGACCAAAATTGAGGTGACACAGAAAATGGTACAGACAGGAGAAAGGGGACATAATTAAAAATTGATTTAAAAAATCTAGGTGACATATGCAGTCATGGTAGTAGAGAGTCTAGGATTTTGACATTTTTTTTCAAGAAGTGTATGTACAGTAGATAGTACTTATAGGTTCAAGCAGAACTATATCCACAGGATAGTACGATTTTTCTTTTATTAGAAAATGTTTTTTTGCCTCTCTCTGTCTAAGGAGTGCTGCAACATATAGTAGTGGTAACTAAAATAAATGTATCTTTATATGAAAACATTTTCTGTAGCCTTCACAGGAACATGTTTGAAAGTACATAAAGAAGTTGAAATGAAAAGGAATGAACAGAGAGGATATGTGCAGGGGAGGGAGAGGGAATCTGTGCACGGGAGGGGGGGATCTGTGGAGGGGAGAGAGGGGATCTGTGCAAGGGAGAGGGGATATGTGCAGGCGACGAAGAGGGGATTTGTGAAGGGGAGGGAGGAGGACTGTCAGGGAGGCAGGGGATTCTATGCAGGGAGGGGGACTCTCAGATAGGCAGGGGAAGAGGGGGACTGTCAGGGAGGCAGGGGGACTGTCAGGAGAAGAGGGGATCTGTGCTGGGAGGGGGACTGTCAGGGAGACAGTGGGAGAGGGGATCTGTGCAAGGAGGGAGTGGCTCTGTGAGGGTGCAGTGAGGAAGGGACTGCGCAGGGGAGAGCATATCTGGTGTTTCTGCCAGACTGCTCTTCCTCTTCACTCCTTAGGACAGGAGAACACAGGACGTGATTTCACTTCCTATCCTCCTGCCCCACCTCTTCCTCTCACTCTGCACTGCATAATGGAGACTTGGCAAGCAGAGCAGGATCGCTGCCAGATCATACTCAGAAGGTGTGAGGAGGGCTACTGCCAGTATGGGAGGGAGCAGGGACCTTGCCGCCCCCAAAAAAGTGCCACCTGGGGCGCCCCCCTTTCCTAATGCCACTGTGAAGAACAAAATGGTATTTACAACTCCTTGGATTTTTTTTTTTTCAAAATGCCTGTGTGCATGCTGTACACTGCTCAGCCACAA